GTCAGATTACCTTTACTTGAATAATTATAGAAAATTGTCATTTTTTTCATTAAGTGTTTTCCCAAATTATTTAAACATTAAAATGTACCTGGAAAGAGAAATTAGATTCCTGGGTCCTGCTGCTGAAGTGCAGCACTCGGTCCAACTTAGAATCGAGGTTATTTGTCCTTTGGGGGCACCTGTAATGAAAAGCTGCTCCATCTTTCTTGGGATTGGCTGTTGCCGTGGTTACCATTTGTTTAGAGGATCTGGGCGCTGTCCTAAGAGCAAACCAGGGAATTTTGCTGCTGGTAAGTGAGCCAGACCTTTCAACGCAGGGATTTGGGTTGGGGGAGTGGAGGTCGAGCGGCGGAAGCGCAGAGCCAGGTGGAACCCTGTCCGCCAGGGCCAGGCTTCCGGGAAAGGGAGGAACCGCGCGCCCAGAGAGAAACCGCGCTCGAGTCCGCTCACCTCGAGGCTCCTTTCAGTTCTGGAAACTCCCTTAGAACTTTAAGACCCAACTTGGCCGCCTACGGAGCCTCTCCCCCACATCCGAAAATACACCAAGTGCCAGTTCTTTTCTTTTCCTCTCTCTTTCCCTCCCTCTCTTTCTCTTGCTTTCAGGATTCCACACAAATCATGATTTTTGTTACCTCGTGAAGGAAGGTTTCCCTTCCTTTTCTGTAGAGACCAAAGAGGGGAGTTACTTAAGCCCTGTCACTTTGGGCAGTTTCGCCACCTTCAAGTGTTTCCTTATCAATTTGAAATTTTTTTGCCATAGCCAGTTTACTATGGGATTCATCTAGAGCAGCCCGTCTTGTCCGCGAAGGAAACCACTAGCTACAGGTGTCTGTTGACAAGTGTCGTCGGTGTAAAATAACCACCGGACTTCAAAGAATTCGTGTGCAGAACCACAATGCAAATTTTAATTTTTATCTTAATAACACATAACTTTTAAGGACGAGAATTTAGCTTAGTGGTAGAGTGAGTGCCTAGCGTGTTCATGGCCCTGTGTTCCAGCTCAGTACCAAATAAACAAATAAACAAACAAATAAATAAAATAGTGATAATGATACTTTATATTCATTATACGTTTTTTTTTTTTTTTTTTTTTTGGTACCGGGGATTGAACTCTGGGGCACTGGACCTCTGGGCTACATCCCCAACCCTATTTTATATTTTATTTAGAAACAGGTTGTCACTGAGTTGCTTAGCACCTCACTTTTGTAGGCTTTGAACTTTGGATTCTCCTACTTCAACCTCCCCAGCTGCTGGGGTTACAGGAGTAGACCATGGTGCTGGCCTATTCATTATAAGCAGAAATGATATTTGAATATTTGTTAAATAGGATATGTTAAAATTAATCTGCTTCTCTTTTTAAACAGTTGCTGTGTAAAATGTAAATTTCCATTTGTGCTCAGATATAGAAACATTGAATGGGGCTTGTGTAAGGAACCAGAGATAAATAGAAGTGGAAATATAAAGGAAATTATTCTTACCTTCACCCTATTTGCCTGCCCTTCTTTCTATATAAAGTTTCATGTACCTGGGCATTCTATTTTATAAGCACATTAACAAAGTCTAAAAAATTTTTCACCTAAGAAAGCTATTGAATTACTTGTAAATAAATTATTAGTATTGTTCTGTTGGTTGTTTTGCTGTGTTTTGAAGGGAGAAAATTGTGGGAAATTGAATGTTTTAAATGAGCTTTTAAAATTATGAAAATAGTGTATATTCATGTTTTTTTTTAAAAAACCAGTCAACATGAAGGTATGACATAACTGTTAAAATTCCCCAATTTCTTCAAGAAGTTTTTGTGTCTAAAAACTCTGTGTGTGTTTGTGTATGTGTGTGTGTATGTGTGTGTAGTTACCAAAAAAGAGGTTTTCTGTTGTCCTATTTTCCTGCCGTTTGCTTTTTTTAGTTAGTCGTTTTGGATACTTTCTTACAAGAATAATAGCAATTGTACCATTTTAAATAATTTGCACCATGTTCTATGGAGCCATAACTTATGTAACTTTGTGCATACTTAGTATAGCTTTAATTAAAAATTTATTAGCTTTACAAGTGTGTACAAAAATGTTCTTGTAATCTTTGCAAATTCTCCCAATGGTAAATATTTTGTTAATTATACAGTAATATAATCAGAATGTTGACATTGATAAAATCTACTAATTGTATTCAGTTTTCCTTTATTTTATGTGTACTATGTTCTATACAATTTTAATCAGCTGAATAAGTTCATTTATCTTCAGCCACCAACACAGAATAGTTCTAGCACTACAAAATCCCTCATGATGGTATTTTATAACTCATGCTCCCCCTAAAACCTTAACCACTAAGCTGTCCTCATTTATTAATTTTTCTGATTTCAAAATGTTATATAAATGAAACCATGTTTTTTACTTTTTAATCAACATAGTTGCAAGGAGATTTACCTTTATTGTTGTGTGTGTCAATAGTCCATTCCTTTGATTGCTGAGTAGTGTTGAATGGTATGAATGTACTGGAGTTTATTTAATCACTCACCTGTTGAAGGACATTGGTGTTTTGTCATTTGAGGGTTAGTATGGATAAAGCTACTGTGCACATTTATGTAAAAATTTTGGTGTAAATCTAAGTTTTCATTTCTCTAGGATAAATTCTTAGGATTTCAGTCAACACACATGGAATCAGTCTGATTAAATCACTTATTTGTGAAAGAAAGATAAGTGATATCTATCATTAGTGGAGAGTCCCAGGGTTTTTTTTTTAAGTGTGGGAGTGCCTTGGTCATGTTTTTATGGAGAGGAGGAACAAAGGAATAAAAAATGTATGATAAAGTAGTAAACACAGAAATAATGTACAAAGCAATGTTAAGTAAGTAAGAAGTTTTTAGAATCAGCCTACAGGTAAAGTATGACAGTTTATTAGGGAGAGGAGCTCCTATTCCTGAAGGATGGATAAGAAGGGGATTCATGAAAAGAAATAGTGAAGTGAGGGTATTTAATCTTCATTATTAACCAGACTGTACTTAATCAATGTATTTGTAGCACCCAGCACTGCTATGAATGCATGTTGCACATTCTCAAAAAGTTAGTTTTGAATTGAATGAGTAAAGGAATGAATTAAGGAAGGAATGGGGAAAAGGATAAGGAAGGAAGAAAAGAACAAGAACACAGGTAGAAAGGCCAGTGCCTTCAGGAAACAATGAAAGCTTGGAAGAGTGTATTGAAAAATAAAATAAGAGCTGATTGATATATTTCAAACTTTAAAAAAAGTTTTTCTATTTGTTCTAATTACTTATACCTGACAATAGAATGCATTCTGATATATCATACATAAATAGAGTATAACTTCTCATTTCTCTGGTTGTAAATGATGTGGAATTATACTGGTAGTGTTGTCATATATGCACGCAGGGTAATAATGTCCAGCTCATTCTACTATTTTTCCTAGCCCCATATCCCCTTCCCTCTCCTACTCCCCTCAGCATAATCCAAAGTATCTCTATTCTTACCTAGCCCCTGCCTTATTGTGAATTAGCATCTGCACATCATAGAAAACTTTCGGCCTTTGTTTTTTCGGATAGGCTTATTTCTCTTTGCATGATACACTCCAGCTCCATCCTTTACCTGCAAATGCCATAATTTCATTCTTCTTTAAGGCTGAGTAATATTCCAGTATATATATATATATATATATATATATATATATATATATCACATTTTCTTTATCCATTCATCTTTTGAAGGGCTATTGTGAACTGCTATAAACATTTGATGTGGCTATGTGACTAAGATCTACAGAAAATAAAAAAGTACTAATAAAATATATTTCATTTAACTCATGCATATGTGCATATATATGTGTGTATTCATAACTGAAAAATTTTAAACAATTTTATCTTAATATATAGAATCATTATATTTTGTTTTCTACCCTATCCTAACACTTCCTTTCCTTTCTCATCCTTTCACTAAAACTTAGTGATTAAGAGTGAATAATTTCTTAATCAATTAATTTCTTGATCAATTAATGGGTCCTAACCTTCAATTTGGACATGATTGTACTAGGTGATGGCATACAGAGGGATTGTCAGATAGATAAAGAACTCAGCTGAGTTGATACCATTTAGTAGTAGAAAGAGCACTGACTTTAAAATTAGTATATCTGAGTTAAGATTCTGCCCTGTTATTTACTAGCATAATGATTTTGGACAGTTAAGTAACATCTTCAAACCTTGGTTTTGTCATATATACAAGAACTACAATCATCTTTATCCTGTTACATTTTTTTAATGTTCGTAATTTACTTAAGTATCTTCTATTACCTGGCTTATTACAGATACTCTATATATGGAAATTAATGATGGTGGTAGTGAACTTGATAATGATGATGTGACGATATGCTATAATACATTGCTGTGCCTATATCCATTACAAGCATTAACAATTTAAATAAAATAAATATTAGGCTATTTTATAGTTTATAAAGTTTAGGTTATATGTATAATATTTAGATTGTCATGTATTATCTGTCATTATGTGTCATGTTAGCAAAAGCTGTGGCTGTCTATATCTATGACAGAGTTACCAGTATTCTCAATGACTACAAAAAAGCCATATGCTTTGCCCATACTTAGATTATTATTTTCTAAGTATTTTAATCTCTAAATATTTAAGATATTCAATGTTGTTTTTATTAATTGGGCCGATGTGGAATTTTACTTTGAAATCTCTTGATTTTGGAAGGTAAGCCAGTTCATTCCCTATATATTTTTTTCTCTTAAAGAAATATAAAATTAATATTAGATTTGAACATTGTATAGTAAAATATGTTTTTGAAAAGATAAGTTAATGAAGAGGTAAAACAATATTCTTTAACATATAGTACAATCATAATAAGGTATGATAAAAGTTTGTTAAAATAGGTTTGAATGAAACATGTTGGACTGATATGCAAAATTAAAGAACACACAATTTTTAGAGACATAATAGCCTCTTTATTTTTATTTTCTGTTTTTTTTAATATGAAGAGTGATGGAAGACAGTGATAATGATGATGCAAAACTCAAAGAAGAGATAGAAGCTGAATTGGATAAAATCAGTATTTCCTCCTTGGAACAAGATGAGGTTGAGAGTGAGTCAAACTCAGAAACTCTAAGTGAAGGTAGTGATGCAGTAAGTGTTAAGTATTGCATTTTTAAGCCTTTTAACACAAATTCTTTTCATTAGGAATATTAATTTTCTTGGTATATTTTGTATACATATCTCATTTTTTAGATTCAGGGATTACAAATTATATATGGCAGGACATAATAACATTTTGTACAATCCAGGTATCTTAAAAGACTTCTTGATTAAACAAGAATTAGAAATATCAGTGTAGGACAGAGGATAGAAGAGTAGAGTTAATACCAGGAATTAGTTTATAACATTGAATTTTGTTTGCTTTTTTTTAATGATAAGGGGAAAAGCAACATTTTTCTCTTTATCTTTGATATCCCTTCTCAAAATAAGCACTGAATTCTATTAGTGAACATGGAGAGAAAGAATTATGGTTGAAAATCTTAACTTATTAGAGGGAAACCCAGTATGTCAGAAAATATTTTATTAGATGAAATCAGTGTATGTAATGTTCTTCTGTATCAAAAATATCTAAAGTGATTCATCCACATTGTATTTTTAGGGCCATCAATGAAGTTTTGTAGCCAAATAGATGTGGATTTCTAGTTTCTAGATTATTATTAAAATTACTCCTTATATGTTAAATATTTGCTGTTATTATGCCTATATTTTTGTATCATATTTTCTAACTAGTTATAGTATTTACGGAAGAACTACATTTTTACATTTTGTAAATTACTATCAATATATTTACTTAATTTGAAAATTTGTAAATATATTTACATAGTCCATATTGATAGATATTATGTAATAATTCATGAATTTTTTTAAGAAAGAGTGAGAGAGAGAGAGAGAGAGAGAGAGAATGTTTTAATATTTATTTTTTAGTTTTTGGCGGACACAACATCTTTGTTTGTATATGGTGCTGAGGATCGAACCCGGGCCGCAAACATGCCAGGGGAGCGCGCAACCGCTTGAGCCACATCCCCAGCCCCTAATTCATGAATTTGACTAACTTTATGTTTGAGAGTCATAGAGTAAATTTTGGAAAGTATTAATTTCTTATATAAGTTATTGCTTCTTCTATTTAGTTCCTATATATATTTTGGAAAAAAAATTTGCAATTTTCATTAATAGTTGATAAAATTCATTGAGACAAATCTAAAATACACACAATAATTAAGGACACTTAAAAATAAACAGCTTGTAATAAAGTTAATAAAATCATATGTAGGTAACTTTTCATTTGTTTCGTTAGGGTCTTCCATAAAATAAAGTAAAAAGCAAATTTTAGCAAAATATTTGTCTGAACTTTACCTTTTCTGTAGCCCTTTTACCTCCTTTACACATTTTGCTGAAATTTTTAAAGAGGAATATTTTATGTGTAATTTTGATTTTAGGATTTAGAAGAATTACCAGAGTCAGTTCTTCACTGCATCAACATTATAAAGAACAAGAGTAAAACTGTTGAAGAACTCCTTCTTCAGGATTTAGAAGACACCAATGTTTTAAGTAAGTTCAGATTTCATTTGATTGGCAGATAAGTTTTCACTAAGTTTGGATAACATAATTTAGCAAACTAAGTTGTTCACTGTTCTTATCTTGTGCTATGTACATGAATGTACCTTTATCACTAATAAAATATCTATAGTATTATGGACTATCAGATGTAGTATATATTTTTTTTCTTACTATCTTCATTATATCTCTATAAATAATTTTGTTTCCCCAGTTATTTTCTTTTTTTCATTGGGTTCCAGGGTTTTAATCCAGAGTTGCTTAACCACTGAGCCACATGTCTGGCCCTTTTTATATTTTATTTTGTGACAGAGTATTGCTAAATTGTTTAGGGCCTTGGTAAATTACAGAGGCTACCTTTGAGTTATCTTCCTGTCTCAGCTTCCTTCCTAGCTGCTGGGATTACAGTTGTGTGTCCCCATGCCTATTCCTATTTCCCCAGTTTTAATTATTACCAGATTCCTATTACTTTACATTAAAGAAAAGAAAATTGAGTATGGGACTATTTTAAAAGTATCAATATGCACACATTTTTGGAGGGAAATAATTATTTGTATACAAAAGCCTAACAAACTTTATTTGTTTGAACTGGGCATTATTACTTAGAATTATTCTAATAATGGAATGATCAAAATTTAACTAGAATTAATCACTTCTTGTCTTATCATGAAAAATGACAATAAGCTAATTGTTCAACCAGACCTTGATTTGTCCAATAATACTTGCATTAAAAAATAGGACTTGGATCAATAATTTAACTATCTAAAAATGTTCATGTTTTGTCATGTTTTGTTATTAAAAACTTTTAAAGTTCAATGTATTTTATGAAAATAGCATAAATTATAATATGGATATTCAGAGATATCCATTCAACAAATATTACTGTTATAACAGAATCTGTTGTAGTCACTGAGAATACAGCAGTGAACAAAACAGGCAAAGGTCTTACTCTTCTGTTCTACTGTTTCAGTGTGGGGAGACAAACAATAAACAAATAAATTTGGAATATTACATTAGTGACAACTGCTATGAAAGAAGAAATGCAAGATAATGGGATAGAGACTGGAAGTTGCTATTTTAAATAAAGCATTTAGAGGAGTTTCTATGAGACATTGATATTTGAGCAGTGAGTAAGCAGAGTATCTGACTTACATTTTAAGCAGTATTTTAGTTGCATTCTGTTAATTATGTAGAAAGAACACATTGACATAGCCATATTACAACAAGACTTGGAATTATATGGTTAGAGATGAATCAATTGAGTAGAAATGAGGGACAGTGGTCATGTTCTGGCAACCATTTTTAGGGTACAGTAAAAAAGAATTACTGATGGATTGATGCAAAAAGAAGAGGAAGGGTGACTTCATGTTTTCTGACAGTAGTACCATTATAAATAGATATATAATATTTACTATGATTAAACTATGAGGGATTCTAATAGTTTATTTTTACTAAGATTTATATAATGTAAATATATCACAAATATATTGACAATCATATAATCAAATTATAAAATTCAAAGAAAACACAATTGTAGAAAATTAGTTTCATGAAAGAAGATAAAGCTGCATTAAACAGTGATTCAGAAGATTATGAGAAGTTCTCATGTACAACTCTAATAAAATAGATTTGATAACATCAAGGAATAATTTTCCAAAGAAATTCAAATTATCAAAAATGTAAAATTAAAAAACATGAATAAATCAATAGTATAGAAAAAAGGGAGAAAGGAATTTCTTCTTCAGTGTTAACGAACTAGGAAAAAATTTGCAACTGAATTCTTACAGCACATCAAGAAGCAAAAATTTTCATATTATATAATAATTCACTTTAAAAAGCTATATATTTTAAATTAAATCTGTATAAAGATGGCATACAAAATAAATTGGAGGGTAATTTACAGTTGTATTGATTGGAAACCTCAGTTGTAGAAAACAGAGCCACTCTACTTTAAGCAGTAAGATTTTTGTTTACTTTTATAGGGAGAATAAATGTGCTAAATATTTATTGTTGTGAAATGAAATTAGTGGCTTAAAATAACATTTTAAAAAATATCTATGATTCTGTGAGTTGACTGGGCTCAGCTGGGCAGTTGTTCCCTGAATTATTATGCATTTTTGTTGAATGTTGATTACATCTATGGGTCCTCTGGAAGCTCAACTGCACTGGGATTCCAAGAGGGCTCATTCAAATGCCTGGCAATTCATGGAGCTTATTGATTGGGGAATTCAGCTAAGTACCTGTCAATTGGAGGCATCTTCATGTAGCCTTTTCTTTTGGCTTATATTTCTCATTATATAACATTTGAATTCTGAAACTCAATGTTCTGAGACAAAATACCAAGAGATTAAGGTGGAACCTAAGACTTATGATCTATTTTTAGAAGTCAGACAATATCATATCTACCACATCCTGTTTAGTTACATAGCATTAGTTTAGTTTCAGTGTAGGAGGGAACTACATAGGACATGCGTACAGGAGGCATGGTTCTTTGGAAGAATCATTTTTGATGACTAGCTACTGCAATAAATTACTGTTCACAAAACTGAAGAGACCCAGACTTTAGGCTGTGTATCCAAGACATAAAACAACCTCACCATACATTTCAGAACTGTAGTGCAGAAGAAGTTTCTGTCATAATTAAGAAGTTCAGAGATATAAATTCTTTCCTACACACTCCTGTCTCCAATTCGAAGTCTCCTAGATCATCACAGTATGGGCCAGAAAGATGAAAATATCAAAAACTTCTCTTTACACTTACTATTGATATGACATTGAAGACTTAGGAAAAATATATCTATGTGTAGAAACTTAGCTGCAAAGTAATCTGGATAATTTATTTTTTCTTTTCAGCATCTCATACAGAAAGGCATGTCAGACACATTTTGAATTGGTATTGATGGAGAAAATATATATGACCAAATAGGTATTAATAGTTAGTTAACAAGAAGAATGGGAGCATTACCATGATATGACATATTAATTGAATAAAGAAAAAGAAATGTAATACATTTCAGCAGACAATAAAAAGACAATAAAATTCAACAAAATTTTGTTAAATAAGGAATAAGTTTTAACTTCATTATATTAATTATTAATTAATATTTTTCTTATAGTAATTTCATTATCTTGTGCAGGATTGTATTGCTAGTTTGTGGCAGGTGTAATTGAACATTTATTGATTTCTAATCAAGGTGCCATTGGAATATTATACATTATATGATTCTGAATTCATAGAAAATAAACCTCAGCCTAGAATTTTAAAATGGTAAAGAGTTAATAGTGCTTTAGAAATTTATTGCTTTTACTTTTCAAATAAATACAACAAATGTCCTCTCTTCTTTATTCATTTTTCTGTTCTATTGAGTTCCTATTGCTGATCAAGAAGTTATTCTGATAAACGTGAAATTAAAGGATGATGAAGGTGTTTAAGATTTTGGCGTGTTGTACTCTAATATTCAAAATTACATTTATAAAGTATTATAAACTTTTTGTAAAATATTATAATATATTTTCCTTTTTTAGGCTATAGTTATGGAACAGTTTCTGATAATCATATGCATTTAAGGATAGGATTATCAACTGAATATAAAGAAAATCAGGAACAACTAATGAAGGTATATGTTCAACATTTGACAGAAAATACTCAATATTGCAATTAGAAATTTGTCTTTTAAGCTTACATAGGATGAGAGTTCATTGATTTTAAGTTCACTGATTTAAAATGATTGTTTTTAAACAAGTCATTTTTTATTTTATGGTTTCCTCTTGAATAGTATATGAAACCACACAAATTTCAATCTGTGAGAACATTAAAATAATAATTAGGGCCATCATTTATTTGTAAATTTAATGTTCATATAGATAAACCAGTATGCATGATATTTTTTTCCTAAATGTTCAGAGGAAAACAATGAGTATATTCTGTGTTTACTATCTTTCTTAGAAATTTACAATGTTTCAGCAAAGACCTTAAATACTGCATAGAAACTTTGAATGTATAAGAGGTTATATTACTTTTTAAAAGCAGATAAAAGAAAGGATTCTTAAAAATAAAATTAAAAGGGAGTGTAGCATTTTATTGGGTTAAAACCTCACAAATATATTGAAGAGAATCTCTTCCTCAGATTGATTCATTGGGTTCAATTTACTCTCATTTTACCTCTCTCTTATCTAACTCTGTTTCTACTTAAGATGTTTAATATAATTTTAAATTTTTGACTCTTACTCTTTCTGTGGTACTATAAATTAGAATATTTTTTTAAATTACCATGCTGCTGATTCATTGGAGTAAATATCTTCTATCTTTCCAACTGGAGTATTGTAGGAATAAAATTATGGATAAGTGTTGATCAAAATTATCACTTTTGCATAATTCAGGGTAAATAGAGAATTTTTAGCTCTCTTTTTTGTCATATTGAATTCATTAATAATTTTTATGCAGGAACAATCACTATACCTAAGAAAGAAATGCATTAGTAAAATAGCTACTAATAGAAACATTTTGAAAAAATATCAAACATATTAACTAAAGATGGTAGATTAATCTTAAAATGAATTGAGCCCTGGGGTTGCAGCTCAATGGTAGAGTGCTTGCCTAGCTTGTATGAGGCAATGGGTTTCATCCTCAGTACCACATAAAAATAATTAAATAAAGGTCCATCTACTATCAAAAATTATTTTAAAAAATGATTAGGGTTTGGAAAACATTGAGAGGGTAAAATATTTTCTGTATGTGAAAATATTTTTATTCATGAGGAAAATAATTATCAATGCACTATAGATTTGTATATACAGAGGTTTTAGAAAGTAAAATTCTATATTATATATGTTTAATTCACTACTTAAGTCATAATTTTATTCTATCTTGATTTCATTTAATTATTGGTACTCTTTTAACCTCTTAGATATTAACTGAAATAGAAAAAGAAGAATTTATGAGAAGTAATTCCCATTGTGAGAATCCTGACTTGGTTCCTGAGCCTGATCTTTGTGAATTGCCTATGGATGAACATGCTTTACCAGGTGTGCCACACTGCTCAATATTTTTGACAATTTGTATGATTGATCATAGTTATCTGAAAAAATATTGGATAGTTTTCTTTTTACGGAATATTTTAAGGCAAGGCAAGTATTTTTACTTCTTTATTGACTGAAGTGGAATGTCCATGTGTATTCAATAATGTGTTTGCATATTATAACTTTTCTTTTTTAATATATTTATGTTAATTATCTAAAATTATGGGTTTTTTATTGTTTTTTGTGGTGGTACCAGGGATTGAACCCAGAGGCAATTAATCACTGTGCCACCTCTTCAGTACTTTTATTTTTGGAGACAGTGTCATCCTAAGTTGCTTAGGGCCTCACTAAGTTGCTGAGGCTAACCTCGAATTTATGATTCTCCTGCCTCAACTTACTGTGTTTGCTGGGATTATAGACATGTACCACAGCACCCAGCCAAATTTACTTTTATGTGTTAAATTGATTCACATTGTACAGATTTGATTTTAAGAATAATACTGTTATTATTCTTTATGAATGCAGATGATGCTGATATAAATTTTGGATATTTTGAAGTTGAAGAAAGATGTAGACAGTCTTTTGAAGCCTGGCAAGACAAACAGAAAGAACTAGAAGATAAAGATAAAGAAATTCTCAAAGCTCAGAGGGATAAAGAAGAAAAGCAATTTCAAGAGGAAGAAGAAAAGAGACATTGCTGGATGAAACAATTTGAGGTTGAAAAGAAAAAATTAGAGAATATACAGAAGGTACATTTTGGTTCTGATTTTTTCATGTATCTTAGAAGTCATGTACCTATTGTTTAAATGTAGCTACCTATGAAGAATATTGCTGTTTGTATTACAGTGTGGATTGAAATTTATTCTGTGGATTTTAATTGCTCCTGGTAATGGAAGCAATTTACTGTGAATTAATGATATTTAATATGGGCTACTTGATTAGATAGTACAGGAATTTCATATACTTCTTTGTATCTTAGGAGCCCTGGAGTATATGAAGTTTCAAAGATCATGCTATATAGTCTGAAATTTATAATATAAAATTCTTTTTTCCATAACATTATAAATTTAGGAAAAGATAGCAGCTTTATTGATTAAACAGTGCCTTTGCTATGTGATCTAGCATGTGATATATTATGTAGAATATGTAATATGACATATTTGGTAGAAGTAGTTCAACCATTTAGGAGATATTCTATGTCCTGATAACTGAGCTAATTCGTTGGAGTTCACAGAGTTTTGAACTTGTTTTTATTTCTGTTTTGTGTGTCCAAACTGTCTGATATCCACAGTCAAGTATTCATAGTGGCATACTGAGTAACTGAGGATTTTAGAATCCTACATGTAGGTCATAAAGGTCTTAGATTGTCTAGGTAACAAGCAAGAGCATATCTTGTCTTTCATTACCAAAGTTGATAGATGTATTATCCAGAACTTGGTGATTTTGACTGTTACATATAGAGAACATTTGCATGTAATTATTTCGGCAACTCAGAGTATTCTAACCCTCCATGTTGAGTACATTTTATTTCTTGATTATATAGAAAATAAATAAACTAAAAACTCTCATAATTTTGTAGAAAAAGTTTTATAATATTGTAGAACCTTAAGGCTGGGTTGTGCGTCAGTATAGAGCACTTGCCTAGCAAGTGTGAGGCATTGGGTTCAATTCTCAGCACTGCATATAAATAAATATAAAAATAAAAGTTCATCAATATCTAAAAACAATTTAAAAAATGTTGTGGAATCTTTTCTAATAGTTATGTATAACTTTTCTGTAGTTATATTTTCCTTTGCACAAACCACGATAACATAGTCATTTCTAAAACTAGAAACTTCTTTTAAAATTCCAGAAAAGGTTTGAATATAATGTAGCTTATGAGAGGAGTGTTTTCTAGCTTGTGCTGGAATACACAAATGAAATTGAGTGTTAGTGGTATTTTCAGATTTAGAAAACATCTGATTTTTGAATTCTACTTAGTGAAGTTGTTGTTTTTATTTGCATGATAATAAAAATTTACTGACTTCTTCAAGGGCAAAGTATTCACCTGTGTGCTTAGATGATACCAAAGAAATCCCCACTATGAAAGAATTGTAACTTGCCAGGTGTGATGGTGCTTGTCTATAATCCCACCAGCTCTGAAGGCTAAGGCAGAAGGATCATGAGTTCAAAGCCAGCCTCAGCAAAAGCCAGGTGCTAAGCAACTCAGTGAGACCTTGTCTCTAAATAAAATATAAAATAGGTCTGGAGATGTAGCTTAGTGGTCTAGTGCCCCTGAATTCAATCCATGTTACTAAAAAAATTAGAATTGTAATACACTCTTTGAAGCTAATCAGCATTTATTATAAAATTATTATTTAAGAAAAATGTGATGAGTGAATGAATTACCGAGTTTATACTTTATTATGCCTTAGAACATAAAATTTTTCCAATTATACTGTTCCACAATTTTATGCTGTATTCTAAATACATAATTTACTACCTTCCCAGTATTTCTTTTCTATGCTTTTTGTGAGCTTTCCTTACCCTAAATGGTTGTCATAAATCTTAGTGGTTCCATCTTACTCTTCCTCTCTTGTTTTTTACAAATAATCACATTATATTTTTGCATCAACCATAGACTGTTTCTTTTATCTAATCCAACATCTGGTTTCTAGTTAGCCTCAACATCTTTGCTCATCCTTTTTTTTTTTTTTTTTTTTTTTTTTTTTTTTTTTTCTTCCTCTCCGTAAGAATCTTTCTTCTTTCTGTCAAAGGTTATCTTTTCTCCTTAGCTTTATAGTCTGCCATTTTCAACTTACCCTTGCTGTTTTCTATACACTTAAACACCTCTATCAGCTTCCTTCTTACTCATTTTTTTATGGACACAATACCTTATTTATTTGTTTATTTTTATGTGTTCCTGGGGATCGAATCCAGTCCTCATGCCTGTTAGGCAAGCACTCTACCACTGAGCCACAACCCCAGCCCTTCCTTGTTTCTTATTCTTTATCAACAGGTTCAGTTTTCTCCCATCCTAAGAAGAAAAGGAAATCATGTGGCAACCTTTGTTTTGTCTCACGTTAGATGCTCTTTAGATTTACTTATAGACAAGCTTCTTAAAAAATAATTATTTTCGTTATATTCCTACCTCATCCCTGATATGATACTAAATCTGCTAGGGTTCTTGCATGGTTACCCCACTGAACAAAAAAATGGCTCTTCAAAAAGAAAATCCATGATCTCTAAACACCATATTCTGAGGCCTTTTCTTGGTTCTTATAGGCTTCTGAAGCATTTTATGCCTGCAAAATTTTGATTTGGGACCATTTTCTTTCCTCTTGATTTATATGGGAGTCATTCTGTCTTTATTCCCTTCTTACATGTTTATTATTTCTTCCTCCATGTCTGTTTCAGGCTTATTATTCTTTCTTTTGTTTTTTTCCGCATTTTACAGGGCCATTATATTTGTATATAATAGTAGGATTCATTGTTGCATGTTCATTTACACATACTATATGATAATAAAATATGCCAATATTACACTTCTCTTTCTCTTGCTGTCCTTGTAAATGATACTATCAAGGATTCCACCCTTTGCCTTTTTTGTTTTATTAATCCATACACTTTTTTGGTAACCTCATCCATAGCTATGCCTGTTCAGAACCAAATCTATTTTTGTAACAAAATAAAGTATATTATGTAACTCTCCTACACTTTTTATATATAAAACTGAATGCATTATCTTTTTATCTGAATTGTGTTCCTCCTCTGATTCTCTTAAATTCAGTAAGCAAAACAGTTATTAGTCTAAGGTAATGAACCAGAAGAGAAGGGGGGCAGGAATGGAGAGAGAGAGAGAGAGAGAGAGAGAGAGAGAGAGAGAGAGAGAGAGAGAAAATGAATATTTTTTTACCCTTACCTCTCTTTTTATTGCTTTCTTCCCTCTAATAGTTGTTTCATCCATCTTCTCTTAAATACATATTACTGGTACTTTCAAGTAGCTCAACCTTTCTGAGTGTTTAGCCTAGAATGTATACTATACTTTGTAATTGTTTTGGCATTATACACAGTGCTGTCAAAAGGCTATTTTTAAAAATTTATTTCCCCACTTATATGTCATCAAAAGGCGCCACATGTTGAATAAGATAGGTTCAAAGAAAATTCTCCCCTTCCTTTGTATCTATTCAGTTGGTGGTTTTTAACAACTTCACTTTAACATGTTTTTAAAATATCTTTATTAGTTGTTGGTGGACATTTATTTATTTATATGTGGTGCTGAGAATTGAACCCAGTGCCTCACACATGCTAGGCAATTTGATCTACTACTGAACCACAACCACAGCCCCACATTAACATGGTTTTCACTTCTATTCTCACTCCTGCCACTGTATCTACAGAAGGCTCTCAGTGATTCTCACACAGAAATCTTACTTTCCACACTGATCTTAGTATTCCTCTTGTTATTCCCAAAATTCTATTTGAAATAAACTTAATATTTTCCTGAAAATACAGCTGTATTCATTTTCTTTATTTGAAATCCTTAGTAGATTCTGAAAATATCTACTCTACCTCTTGAAAACCTAGTCATTTCAAGTATAATATCCTGCATAAAACTTTTTTTCACCGTCCAGTAATTATAACAACCATTCCTACTGTGACCCTTTATAGTTCTTCTCTTATGATAAACTCATTCTGCTAAGTGGGGTAGTGTGTAAACTTGTGGCACTGTTCCCATACTAGAAGCTGAGTTTTTGATGAAGGGTTCTGTTTTATATTGATTTTATTTTAATCTGAAGGGTCTTAACTAAATATGTCCTAATAAAAATGTATTGAAGGAAAACCATTACTTACTGATTTATTATGTGAATTAAATGGTATGCTGTATAGAGAAAAAACAATTATAATGTAAAAGTCAGTTTGCAATGTTGTTACTTATAAGTTTTGTAGTACCAAACAGTATTTCTAGCCAACATATTTCATTATATGAACAACATGTTCAGATAACTAAAACAGCTTTCCTAGGTTGTAAACATATTTATGTCCTAAAAATGGGAATCCTGGGTATCATTTATCTGATGCTTTAATTTCACACTGGATTTGAATTGAAAGTTTTTAAACTAGGACTTTTTGATGCATTGTCATCTTTAATCACTGTGTACAAATATAAATTGTGAGAATCATGTATAATGAATATAATATTCTTAGATGTGTATGTGAATAAAATAACATTTTATTATTATCATATGTTCAGCAAGAACAGGACAAGATGAATGAGGAGCTCCATGAAGAAGAGAAAATGTGGAAAGAAAAATTTAAACAGCATGAGGTATTTACTTTTTGTTTTTAATCAGTACATTATTCTTTCTCCATTTGAAATAAATTATTATGCTTGAAATTGGCTTTTTAAAATAATATTGCCTAGCTGATATAGAATTTATTTCAGCATCAAAAAAATCCTCAGAAAAGAGAAGAAAATCATGGCATTTGCAGGTAAATGTATGGAGTTGGATAAGATAATGCTAAGTAAAGTTAGCCAATCCCCCCCCCAAAAAACAAATGCCAAATGTTTTCTCTGATGTAAGTTGACTGACTCATAGAGGGGTAGGGAGGGAGAGCATGGGAGGAATAGACAAACTCTAGATAGGGCAGAGGGGTGGGAAGGGAAGAGAAAGGGCAGGGGATCAGCAATGATGGTGGAATGTGATGGACATCATTATCCAAAGTACATGTATGAAGAAATGAATTGGTGTGAACATACTGTATATACAACCAGAGATATGAAAAATTGTGCTCTATATGTGTAATAAGAATTGTAATGCATTTTGCTGTCATGTATTTAAAAAATAAAATCAATTAAAAAAATCCTCAGAAGCCCTCCTTGAAATGGAATGTTCTGCAAATAATAATTAACTAGTTCAATGAATGTGTCTTTATAAAACTGCAATTCTAAAATTTCATTTAAGATTTAAGGAAAGATACTATTACAAGGATTTCATTATGTTTAAAGATGGTTAAGAAGAGTTACTGTTTGTTGAACACAATTAATTGTTAAATAATACATTTGAACTTGAGATGATTCTAATGATAATAAATGTATTAATTTTAGTTTTTATTCACTTCAGTTTTTATATAAAATTATTTTAAGTAATCATATATATTAAGTAGATAAAGTTTCCTGTGATCATGTAATCCAGCTAAATATTATTACTTTTATTTGTATTTCTTTCAGTCTTTTTTAGTATTTACACACTTCTGAAAAACTACATTCTACTGTAGATTTTTTTTTTAGTTTGTTCTAATTAGGTATACATAAGGGCACATTTTGATTCATTGTACACAAATAGAGCACAACTTTTCATTTCTCTGGTTGTACATGATGTAATGTTGCACCACATGTGCAGTCATACATGTACCTATGTTAATGATGCTTTTCTCCTTCCACCATCTTTGCTGCTCCCATGCCCCCACTTTTCCTCCCTCTCCTTTGCCCAATCAAAGTTCCTCCATTCTCACCTCTCTCCCCATTATGCATCAGCATCCACTTATCAGAGAGAACATTCTGCCTTTGTTTTTTGGGGTTTGGCTTACTTTGCTTAGTATGATATTCTCTAACTCCATCCATTTACCTGTAAATGCCATAATTTTATTTTTTTTAATACTGTGTAGTATTCCATCGTGTATATGTACCACAGTTTCCTTATCCATCTGTTGAAGGGCATCTAGGTTGGTTCCACAATTTAGCTATTGTGAATTGAGCTTCTATGAGCATTGTTGTGGCTGTGTCACTGTAGTATGCTGATTTAAGTCCTTTGAGTATAGACTGAGGAGTGGGATAGTTAGGTCAAATGGTGGTTCCATTCCAAGTTTTCTAAGGGATCTCCATACTTCTTTCCATAGTGGTTGCACTAATTTGCAGTGCTACCAGCAATATATGAGTGTACCTTTTTTTTCCACATCCTCACCTACACTTATTATTGCTTGTTTTCTTGATAATTATCATTCTGACAGAATTGAGAGGAAATCTAAGATTAGTTTTGATTGCATTTCACTAATTACTTCTGAGAAGTATCTGTTCAGTTTCTTAGCCCATTTACGACAGGGTTATTTACTTTTTTGGTCTGAAGTTTTTTGAGTTCTTATCTATCCTGGAGATTTCTGCTCTATTTGGTGTGTATGTAGTAAAGATATTATCCTACTCTGTGGGCACTCTCTTTACTTTATTGATTATTTCCTTTGTTGAATTAAAAATTTATTAGGCATGTGAAAAGATAGGTTCATATGAATGCCAAGAAAAAAAGAGAATAGTAGCCCACTTGTATATAATCCAAATACTGGATTTAGTGGAGCCAGTAAAATAACTGTAACTATCATCACTAACAAAAAAGTTAGACAGGTGATGTGTAATATTTTAGAGAATTAAAATGCATAATCAGATATCAAGTATATGCTCTAGAGTTTAAAAATTCAATATTAAAATTAAAAATTCATGGGATGAGTTTGACAGTACATTGGACATAGCAAATGTGAGTATTGATCAAAGAGAAGAGAGTTCAATAGAAAATATTCAAATTAATGTACAAAGAGAACAAAAAATGGAAAAAAACAAAGAGCATAGGAAACATAATGGATAGTGAAAAGTTATAAAAATTGTCTGATAATCTTGAAAGAAGAGCATGGAGAGAATGGAGCAGAAGCAATGGGTAAGGATATAATGTCTGAAAAGTTCAAATACCTTAAAAAATCAATCTGAACATTCAGAGATGACTAATGATTTATAAATAAGATAGGCACAAAGAAAATTTCACTGGGAATTTAATAGTGCAACTACTGAAATTCAAGACACGGGAAAAAATAGTCTTAGGGACATCTTAGAGGAAAAGAAAAACACATTACCTAAAAACAGATAAAAAATAATAAAACTAACAGTAGAATTTGAAAACAAAATGTTAGAAGGGAGAAGAAAATGGAACAGAAAATTAAAGTGTTAAATGTTAATGACTTCTTTTTTTTTTTTTTTAGTATTTTTTTAGTCCTGAGTCTTCTCCTAATCAGTGTAACTCTTTTTACTTTTCCTGGAGTATATGCTAAATAGTTGTTAAGAAAATATTTTTGAATGGTTAATTTGCATAGTCTTTGTAGTTAAAAATGTATTGATTTAGCTTTCAAAACTGAATAATTAGTTTATTTGGTAATATAATTCATATTCATTGCTGTTTATTTTCAGTAATTTAAAGATGTAGCTCCTTGCGTATTTATTTATTTTTGCCAGTTGTAAGTTTTATGGTTAGTCCTTACATTCTTTTGAAGCTTTTAGGATTTTCACTTTATAAATTCATCTGCATTATGTGATAGTTTTCTGTTATATGTCAGACACTTCTCTAAGTGCTTGCAATATAATTGTGAATAAAAAAGAACATGGTATTTGCTTTCGTGGAGCTCTTTTTCCATGAAACTCTTATTTTGGGTTCTGAAATATTGCTACCACATATCAAAATTGGTTGTGTGTGAGAGTTAAATAAACTCAGCTGTTTGTACTTTGGCATTTTATTTTAAAATATATATTTTTCTACTATTTTCTTCCCTTCACTTTTCTTTTCTCACCGCCTTATTATTCTGAAGCTACTTTTGGTCAATTCCTTATCCCTCCCCGTATCTATAGCCATATATTTCATGTCTTTTTTGAAAATATTTACTTTTGAAGTTTTTCTTTAGGTAGTCAGACATTCTGCCATTTTACTTTCGCCACTCTGTTTGAGTTAGTCATATTTTTTATTTGAACAGTTGCATTTTATGTTTATGTAAGGTTTTTTAAAAATATTTTTTTCTGAAAAGTCATCTACATTTAAGGTTTTGTCCAGTGTAATAGTTCTCTTTGCTCAGAAATTTATACTTCTTTTAATAACAAGGCATTTAATAATAGTGCATTATTAAATGCATTATCTCACATCCTTATGTTAGTTTCCCTTAAATATTTTCTGAATGTTTTGACCCTTTTGCTTTTTTTTTAAGATTCTAGTGATAATGATATTTTCTTACCTAGCTCCAAATTATCTCATTTTATGTATATACCAACTTTCTTTAGAGCTGAGAAGGAATGAAATATGTGAATAGACTGTTTCTTAATATTGCTTACACACATAGGCTACTTCACCTTCTTGGTATCCTAAGGCTCATAGGAGAATTTCATGCACTGTAGTTCAGTGCTAGCTCTCCATGTCCTTTATCAGATTGCCCATCACAGAATGTTTGAATTCCTTTTCACATACATAAATTTTAGCTTGTGGTTTCTCTCTCTTTCTCTCTTTCTTTTTCTCTCTCTTTCTTTCTTTTGTTCTTTCTTTTATTCTTTAATTCTATTTTTCTTGTGTCATTCTGATTTCATATGCTATCTCAAAGAATTTCTCAATTTATACCCAGGTGGCTTAGTATCTTTATAATTTAGGTGGTTTATTATCCTCATAATTTTAGAGTACCAACTTACCCATGTGACAGTCTTTTAAATATTTAAAAATTAATACCATTTAAAATAAATTACTTTAATCGCTTTAAGTGAATGTTATCACAATTTCATTATGATTTCAGTTTTTATATTTATTTTTAATCTACAATTTTAAATTATATTTGAATAAAATTACACATTTTGTTTATGTTATTACTATCCTACTTTATTTTAGGAATTTATGAGAAATTTGCATGTACAAATGGAAGAGGAAAGAACAAGGTTCAAGGATCTACAAGAAAAAGAAAAGATGCGTTTGTTAGAACTGCAGCATAATGCAGCTGTAAAAATTCAAGCTAAATATAAAGCATTCATAATCTACCAAAAATATAGCCCCATAATTAGAGACCGAATAGAAAGAAAACAAAGGAAAGAAAAAGAGTTGAAAGAAAAGGAAGCAAATATACGACAGAAAGAGGGAGAAAATAGGAAAAAATTAGAGGAAGAACAAAGGATAGAAGAAGAGATAAAAAAACAGAAGCAAGAGGAAAGGAAAAGGAGAGAAAAGGTATATGAAGAAAAAAAGAACATCCTGAGACGAGAAAGAGAGGAACTGAGACGAGAAAGAGAGGAACTACAAAACAAGGAAAAATTAAAATTAATAGAAGCTGCAAGCCAACAGCTTATAATAAATACCACATTAAAGAAGGGAGAACATAATGCCAAACATTTAACTATTGAAGATAAGTCAAAGAATAAGGGTGACATAGCCAAAGAATTAGTGTATGAAAATTCAAAGAAGCAGGAAAATGTTCCTCTTTGGGTAGTTAAGAAATCGAATAAGAGTGAAAATATAGGTAGTCAGTTTGTCTTGAAAGAACCAATACAAGAACAATTGAAATCAAACCAAGCCATTTTGGCAGAATTAAAAATAGAAGAAACAAATGAAAGCCTAGCAAAAAACCAGTGTTCTCAAAAAATGATTAAGCAAGAAATAAAATATGAAGATATGTACAAAAGAACTGAATTAGAAATCTTAGATCTAAAAGAAAATATAATTGAACAGTTTCAGCAAGAATTAAAGACACAAACACAAAACCAGGAAAGGGTGGAATATGCCATAAAGGAAAATGAGGGGGGAAAAGTCCAAATAATAGTATTAGAATGTAATGAAGAAATGAATGATGTGAAGAGCAATGAAGCACAGAAAATAATAGAATTTAGTGAACAGAAAATGATACAAAAAGTAGAAAAAGAAGAGATATCACAAGGGAATGGATTATATGAAGAGAATACTTCCATTATTTCAATAAAGCAAAAACTACTACCATTAAAATTAGAAAATGCTGAAACTGTGGAGGAATATCCAATACTACAAGAAAAGGAAATTAACTTAAAATCCAAAGAAGCTGAGGAAAACTCAAAAGACAATACTCTAAATAGTGACATTATGTTCTTTAACATCACTGATGCCATGGTAAATAGAGAAGGCAACATAAATAAGCAAGATTACTTTTTGGATAGACTTGCTCTTCATGAAGATTTTAGTGGCTGTGATACAAAAAGCTCCTGGATTGCTAAGAAAGAAAACTCTTTTATATCTGAGATTAATGAAATTCCAGAGTGCTATGAAAATAGGGCTGAATGTGAACAGATCACAACCTCTACACTAGAGTCAACACTTTTATCTTCTATTGAGGAGAAGAGACTAGCTTGGCTAAAATCATTTAAACCTTGGTTTGAAATTTTCAGTCAAAATCAACAGAAAAAAATTGTTAAAAGAAAGAGACCTTTGAAATGCCTACCTAATACGATGCCTCCTCTGAGCACATTAGAAATTCTTCAGTATGGCCATTGGAATACTTTACAGCAGGTATTTCTAATTTTATAATGCTTTTTTAATATTTAACCCAATTCTCAAAAGTGGAGCATTACATTTTAATAGAAGTAAATTTTGTATATAAGAAAACTGTCTCTTAATAGACTTAAGTTAGTAACGAAATATTTCCCCATGTGGGAGGGGATTTATTTTTTAAATTTCATCTTTTTCAGGGCATTGTTTCCCTAAGAACTATACAGAGCTTTGATTTAAATTTTTCAATATCTTTAAGCTTACATACAAGAGCCCTATAGCCATTATTAAGGATGTAAAGGTGGAAGTATTGGAATTAGGGTAGGGAGTTTGATACTCAGGCATTTGCTTTCCATCTGGGCTACCACACCACCTAGTGGTGAATGTAATGAATTTCTCTATATGAGACCACTGCTGTGAAAGAAGTTTATTTGATAGAAGACTCTAGAATTCCTATACAGAAACACAATTATTTTGTTTTGTGCTTTATAAATGTGGCATATATCTGCTTCAAACTTAAAACAGTTCTCACCAAATCTACATATTTTCAGTGGTTATGGAGATCATAGTTACAACCAAGATTAAGACAGAAACTCGGGAATGTGTAGAAGAACAGGAAAGAATATTTTAAACAGTGCAATACTAAAAGGATTTATGAATAAAATACACATAATCTAGTTAAACCCTGAAAGCCAAATATAGTCATTTAATTTTTTGTATCAATAGATACTAGCAAAATGAACATTTGTATTAGTACATTATTTTATTCATTTCCTTGGCCAATATTTATTTATTTAACTGTTCAATATGATTGATTAATATTTTACTGGTTGACTAAAGAGACAAAAACAACAAACCTAATGTTGCACTATGGAGTTTAAACAAATACATAGATAAATACATTATTATAGATCTTGAAAATTTCTGCAAATAAGATTTTGGGGTAATCTCTGATAGATTGATGAAATAAGGGAGTTTCAGAAGGACAGCTGAACCATGAAAAAACAATACAATTAACAAGAACTAGAACATGTATTTTGAAGTATTTTCTATTTCCTAAGCAATATATTACCAGATCTATCAGTTCTATAGAGCTACATATAGAATTCCCAATTGCTTGTTCTTTATTGTTTTCCTTGGGCTATGCTGTCTCTGGAATGATTCTTCATGTACTTTCTCCAAGATATTGTTTTGAGGTTTCCAATATGATGACTTTAGTAATTATCTTATTTAAGTAATTTTCATTATAAATATCTACTGGAGTTAGGTAATAGTGAAAGCTTAAAATATACTAAATGCCTAAAATGTTCCAATTTTAAAAGTAAAATTGAAATTAGAGAAACAATAATGCTCTACCCTTTTATTGTAGATCTCTAGTCTGTTCAGTGAGAAGAGCACTGAAGAAGTAAAAGATGTGTGAGCTCTTTCTCCTTTACCTCCTGTCCATTCTCTGTTCCTTCTTTGGAACTCTTGCCAATTTAGATAAAATGAAGATTAACTCTACTTTATTTCTTAGAGAAAGGCCTGGCAAGCCATAATGTATATAGATTACCTGAGAATTTGTGAAATGTTGATTCTGATATGAGGGATCTTGTGATTAACAGACCAAAAGGTTCTGCATGTTTTCAATGTCATTGAGGGATGTTGTCACTGGTTCATGAACTAATTTGAGTAACAGTTTCTAAAAGACCCTATAATCCTCTCAGTGTTACTCAAAGCCTCTATTTTACAGGTTTAATTTTTCTTTGAAGCATCATCCCATATACATTATAAAGATGAAAAATGTGCATGAATATAAATGGTCAGGTGTTACATATAATACTATCTTTTGTTTCCTGACTGTTTATGCAATTCTCTTATCTTTGTGTCCTCATTCACCCTGTCACTGATCCATCACTTACTTTGATTTTCTAATCTCTTAGATTCAGGTCTTTCTCCTTATCCTCGTCACTACTGCCATCTTTAGAAGGTCTTTGTGGAGAGAATTTTTAAGAGAAAAGTGTACTCTTCTGGAATTTCACCCAGTAAATGAATTCATTTTGCTCATATTAATCTCTTACTTTGAAACTTTAGGACTTTAATCGGGTCTTCATTTTTTCTACATTTCTTTATTTATTTCCAGGAATGTGATTTTGAGTATATAGTATCGAGGATGAAAATATGGATGCATAAATGAATCCAGCTAAATGTTAATCTTATTTCTACATTACTGCTAGCTTCAAAGTTTAGAATAGATTAATTTAAAAGGAAACTACTACAAACATTATTTGAGTTTAATGAAGTTTTTAAAGCTCTGTATTAAGATCTTGTTTCTAATTTAATTTTTGATATTTACTGGCAGAACTATTTATTGCTTCATAAGTTTGTGCAAGAATATTGACCTTTCTGAGCCTCAGTTTTGTCTTTCATAAACTTGAAAAACAATGTCTATTTTATAGTTTTAACACAATATATACAAAGAACATGACCTAGAGCTCATCATCATGTATGTGTGTTTGTGTGTACATACATACATGTACATATATAATAGTCAATTGTAAAATGTGGGTGTCAATCTGATGAGAAAGGCAAATGGATTTTTGAGACCTGCTTGATACCTGTTTCATCTAAGAATTTATACAGCTGAAAATACTATACCATCTCACTATATGTAATAATATACCAAAAGGAAATTACTGAAGAACAATGATTATACATGTTTTTATTTTTCCTAGCTTTTGTGTTTTAACAAATTATTTTTTCTTTTCTTTTTGGCATTTTGCTACCAATTATAACCAGGTGTAAGTAACAACCACCACAAAATGGATACTGAGCTTAAGGAATGGTTAATATTTCTTTATACCTGGCATGAATGATAACATTTTAACTGCTAATTAACTTTTAGATCAACATTGCTCACTTTTACACAAGAAATTGTAATGGACTGCTATTGGAATGGTACATGAATTACTAAAGTTATTTTCAAACTGTTCATGTAAACCACTAATCATACCTGAGACTTGCTGTCTTTGTTGCTAATTTTTTAAACACTATCATTTTTTTTCCTATTGAATAGATCTGAGACTGGGGCACTTAAATAATGTCTTAGAAACATATAAAAACAGTTGTTGTTTTCATTACTTTTGTAATTACAGTTTACTATAAATAACTGATACACTTTAGGTTGAACTCAAGAATAATTGAGAATGAAATCTCTAAATAACAAACAACAGACATATAAATATAATATATCTATCACATATATCTGTTTTAGGTCATTTTGGTTACAACTAGCTATTAAAGGTTTGGAAATAATATAGTTGATTAAATAGAAATTTTATTTGTGATCTTTAATAAAATATAATAAAATGATTTAGAGGTTCTCTATGTGGACCATTCTTTTTAAGTCATAGAGCATGAAATAAAAATTTTCAAGTTTTTATTTAAAAGTAGAGAAACTACATATTCTATGAGTATATTTAAGGTTTGCCACTAATTATGGGGCAGTTTGTTCATTAACTAATCTAAGAAACTGTGCCCCAGTTTTTCAAGCTGATTGTACAATCATGGATGCATATGTTTACTAATAGTGTATTGAACTTGATTTTTGGAGCACAAGGTCTTTTATCTATGTGATTATTATCATACGTGTATCAATAAATGATTAATATAAAATGTATTTTTATATCATATGTTTGTAAAAATCTAGGGTGCAGTAGAGAAGACATTGCTATCCCATAAGGACAGTTTAAAATGTTAAGTAAAAAGGAAGAAATATTAGGAAACTCTTCCATTTCAACAATAGATGCTACTAATCAGAATAGTTGTTACTCCTGTGCAGTAATGAAATGAAACTATAGAAATTGCTACATCATAAATAACTAGAATTTAATTGTGTTGATTGAAAGCAGTTGGCTGAAAGAGTATGTTATTAAATCAGAAAGGTAATATAAATTATGATGCAGAGTAACATTGTTAATATATAACTGTAATTGTCAAATTTTCAGTTTTTAAGCCCTCCATTTTCACTATTACTGAGCAAGTTTTCCAATTATAGAAGTTATATTTATTTGCATACAGATTTAACAGGCAATGCATACTTTATTGTTATATAGAAGAATGTTTTCTTTCTGAAAATTTATGAAAAACAATTTGCTTTAAAATTGCTTTAAATTGTGAGTAGTTGAGATATTCCTAAAGTAATTATGAAAATAGAAACTCTACTTGAAGTTTTAAATATATTATTGCTTTTGCTACAAAGCAAAGAGCAAACTATATTCCTTCTTTATATTCCATGAAAATACGTTTCTCCCATTGACTTTAACATCCAGGGATCTCTAAGATATTGTCAACCACAGATCATAGACTTTTATGTGGTGTAATATGATGTCTGGGGCAATAAAATATGAAATAAGTGGACTTGGTACAAAATCAGGGATTGAACTAATAAATTATTATATTGTTGTTTTATGTATTTTATTTTTGAACTTGAATTTTGTAATGGATGATTTCATATTTTGTTTTTCTATGTGGGGGACCAAAAGAGACCAAATAGCTTTACGCAAATTGAGTTGTTAATAAATGTTAATTTCAACATACAGTATTTTTTTCTTATATGAATTTTCTAAACATTTTCACAACATTAACATGGCTTATATTGTGTAATTAATAATGTTACTCACCCAAGTTTTCTTGAATTCTGTAGGTTACAACCATTACATTTCAAGATTTGCCAGGTTGTAGTCTCTCCACATTGGCGGAGTGTATAAATCTTCAATTTCTATCCCTTCGATGCTGTGGATTAACTTCTTTACACAGCCTGAATAACTGCAAAAAACTTAAGTACATTGATGTACAGGTATGTCCCCTGTTTTAATAGTTATTTTATGATGAAATATAAAATGGGTTTATGTTCACATTTCAGAAGTAACTTGAAGAAATTATTACTAAAATAGCCTGTAACAGATCTAGAGAGATCAAGGATCTATGTTTGTAAGGATAAGAGAAAGATGATTAGGTGGTACATCCTGGAAATTACTTTTCTCTTTGTTTTTGCAGATGATACAGGGGTTTTGTTTGGTTGTTTGCTTGGTTTTTGCTGCATAACAAAGGACTACAGAAAACAACAGTCATCTTATTTTCTTATTCAATAGGTCATGAATTGAGACCAGGGATGGCTGGACATTTCTTCCATTTTATATTGTGTTGACTGGGACTCATGTAATTGTGGTCAGATGGAAGTTAGGTGGTGACTGTGTAAAATTCCTTCTCTTTAATGTGTGATTCCTTGACAGGGATGTCTGGGAAGTTGGAATCTCTCATAGTTATTTTGGGCTTATTTTTAGAGTGCTTAGATCTGCTTGCCTCATGATGGCTAATGTTTTATTGTGGAAGCCATATGTTCATGTGGGAAGAGAGTGTATGAATCTCTGAATACTGGAGTTATCAAAGTAACTATCACATTTACTCTCTGATTACTAATGATTCACCTCCTCTCACATGCAAAATACATTCATGTCCATCATTGTATCAATCTATGTCATCTGACCCAGGCTTGACGCACAGGATTTTCTTATCTAAACCAGATCCAATTAGAGATGAAATTCCTCAGGTGAAATTCCTTGGGTGCATCCACTGAGGTGTAGTTCTTTCCTGAGAGATCTGCAAAATAAAATGAAAAGTTATCTACTTCCATTCAAACCCATATAAATGGTGAAGTAGTGCTTGCTTGACTACAATAGCCATTCCGATGCACATCAGCAGAAACAGCAATGATAAAATATTCTCTCTTGTTCATTTAGGTTGTTCAAAGTATTTTGTTATATTTTCCTTTGTATTTTCAACATTTTAAAAAGAATATTAATAAATAAATTCAAATTATTTGATTATTAGATTACTTAATATTTTCATCTAGATAGTAAAACAGTTTATAATTATCTTAGCAATTTGAGATTCATGTATTCATTTAGAGATTGAGTCTCATCCTTCCACTTTTTGCAAGCTTTAAATATTTAATTAATGAGCCATTGAAACAAAATTTATTAAATTTGTTCTTTCTTTAAGGAAAACCATATTGAGACTATCAACTGTGAAAATTTGGAAAATCTCTGTGTTGTTCTTCTTAATAAAAATCAACTGAGTTCCTTTCATGGTTTGGATGGCTGCACTAATATTCAGAATCTTGAACTTTCGCATAATAAAATCACTCGAATTGGTAAGAAAAATGGAATTTTAATACTTATTTAACATTTAAACTTTTATTCATTGTGATTATATTTTGTTTCACTCCTTTTTTAAGAACAGGCTACCATTACCAATTTATATGTTTTATTATGGTAACTTATTTAATCTTATTTAATTTAGATTAGAAAAATAAAATTGTTTTTAATGTATATAAAAGAATATATTCTATCTCTAGCAAATGAGTGACTAGTCTCTTAGTATATTTCCTTCTCTGTTTCTTTTCATATAGGAACATTCCTTTAGTAGTGATCTTAGCTTCGCTAGAGCATATAAACACCAATTTGGTGCTATGATATTTTTATGAATCCTGTGCTTTCTCACTTCTCAGAAATTGTTATAACTATTTCCTGGTAAACACTTTCATCACTACTCTCCTTGATTGCACACATTTCTTGTACTGAACTTTCCCTCTTTTATTTTTGTTTGTTCAAAACATTACAAAGCTCTTGACATATCATATTTCATACATTAGAATCAAGTGGGTTATGAACTCCCATTTTTACCCCAAATACAGATTGCAGAATCTCATCGATTACACATCCACATTTTTACATACTGCCATATTAGTAACTGTTGTATTCTGCTACCTTTCCTATCCTCTACTATCCCCCCTCCACTCCCCTCCCATCTTCTCTCTCTACCCCATCTACTGTAATTCATTTCCCTCCTTGTTTATTATCCCATTCCCCTCACAACCTCTTATATGTAATTTTGTATAACAATGAGGGTCTCCCTCCATTTCCATGCAATTTCCCTTTTCTCTCCCTTTCCCTCCCACCTCATGTCTCTGTTTAATGTTAATCTTTTCTTCCTGCTCTTCCTCCCTGCTCTGTTCTTAGTTGCTTTCATTATATCAAAGAAGACATTTGGTATTTGTTTTTTAGGAATTGGCTAGCTTCACTAAGCATAATCTGCTCTAGTGCCATCCATTTCCCTGCAAATTCCATGATTTTGTCATTTTTTAGTGCTRCGTAATACTCCATGGTGTATAAATGCCACATTTTTTTTTTTTTATCCATTCATCTATTGAAGGGCATCTGGGTTGGTTCCACAGTCTAGAAATTGTGAATTGTGCTGCTATGAACATCGATGTGGCAGTATCCCTGTAGTGCGCTCTTTTAAGGTCTTCAGGGAATAGTCCGAGAAGAGCAATAGCTGGGTCAAATGGTGGTTCCCTCTTTAGCTAAAACTGCTCATACCACAGGAAAGAATTCATCTGATTGAATGTGCCTAAACTTCTTAGTCCCTCCACCACTATATCTTTATAATTATTTATCTTTTCCTTCCTATATCTTCTAATCCATGTATCTCAGCAACTAAAACATCTTTTTAAATAAAAGATAAGTACTTCTATTTTCTACAACTATTCTTTTCATTCCCATTGGGGACCTTAGTTCATCATTTTCACCTGCATTGTCAAATTATTTCTATTGCTGTGCCTCATCTTTCTATTTATTGTCAAGAGTTATAGTGGTGGTTTCATCTCTTACCACCCAAACTTCCTTCATCTACCCACTGAAATTCAACTTCAACTTACTTATACATTGTTTCTAGTGTAATAATTCTAAAATAAAAATCTCATTGTGTTATTCACTACCTTGTTTAAAATCTCTTGTTAATTTTTATTGTTTAATGTCTATCAACATTGGTATATTCTCAAGGGCTTTGGTAGGGGCTTGATAATGGTTAATGAAGAATCAAAGATTGACAAAATGTCAAAACTTGATAAAAATCTTTATCTTGATAAAAATACAAACAATACAAATAGCTTACGTTTTGGGGACCTAAAAGGAACCATCCTATTCCCCTCCTTCATACAATCATTAGAAATTTGATCAAGACTAAAATATCAAGGAATATGATGGGATCATATTGGGGAATAGAAATAAACACACTGTATCTTGCTTGATTCTCTGTAGGGCATCTTGATATTACTTTTGTTTGTTTGCTTTTGTTTATGTCTTTCTTTATGACTGTGGAAATTTTAAACATTTATTAAAGTAGAATAATACACGGACATTCTGTATAACTATTACTTATATTCAATGTTTGCTTCACCCTATGTTTTAATTTTTTAAAATACTAATTCCCAGAATCATGTATTTCTATACCCTCATATTTCAGAAAATAGTTTTTAATAATATGGTCTGTTGTTACTTAATACAATACATTATGACACCTAACAAAATTGAATGATTCCATGTGTAAATTGATAATTCATAATCCAATTTTGCTATTTTTCTAAAGTACCTGGTTTATTTGAATAATAATATGAACAATAACCACAATATTGCTTTTATATATTCCTTTGAACTCTCTTAATCTGTAGCAATCCTACTGCTTCTTTTTTCCAATCCATTGATTTTTTGCATAGCCTGCATTTTCTTATAGAATGTTTTGTATTTTTGCCTTAGTACATTTACTTTCTTTTGGTATCAAAATTGTTTCACTATGCTCTGTATTTCCTGTAATGAAGTCAGCTCAAAAGAGCTGGTTAAATAAAAATTTGGCTACTTTTGCAGGAGTCCTTCTTAGGTAGTTTTCTGTGCTTCATATTTCATTAGATCAGCAGTCATACAGTGTTTGTTTACCTTATTGATGCTACGATTGAACATGGGGCATAACTGATAATAACTCGTATTCTTCACTATATAGTCCCCCATCAACCTTCCTTCTAAAACTTTCATCCATTGATCAATATGAATAAATTAATGTGATGGGGATATAGAAAGTGAGTTTTCTAATTTCATCATTTCTTCCAGAATTTTTAAGCAGAGATTCTTTAATTAGTTAGAACTTTGTGGAAATTGTTACTAGAGGAAAGGTTTAGATATATGGAAATTATCTACCAACTAAGCAATTAGATTAGATTTTTGAATCTCAAAATTGTAAAATCCTATCCTCCTTCTCCATCCTATAGTCATTACAAAGTCAGATCAGATTAAATATCAGGGAGTGGGATGGGATTATATTGAGAAAGAGAAGCAATCCATGAATCTGTTTCTATCAATTTTCATTGACAAATTTTTAGAGTAAGATCTTAGTGGCTCTATTTACTTCCAGGGTGTTATTTTTAGTTTTGTTTCTTTTACTTTGTCCCCCACCCCACCGCATTATTCTTATGAAATCCAATTTTTGGTTCAAACTTTTTCAGTTAGTTGTCTGATTATTCTTTATGGTGTTGTAATTGTCCTGTGCAGTGAATTCAAATTGGACATATCAAAACTGATATCTAATTCAAATTAATTTTTAAACTTTATTGTTGTTCTTTCTCTCTTCTACTGTAATCCTTGGTTTATGGCAACAAATTAACCCATTTGCTATGTCTTATCCATAAAATAGCTTCAAGACAACAATGTTACTACTAATAGTAAAAATTACTAAATTAATTTTAAGCTTTCTTTGCATTTGTTTTTGTCCTCGCACTATGTCCCCCAAGGAGATGTGATTAAACATCATTTGAAGTCTTTTAATTCATGATTTTGTTATGAATTTGATATTTAAAATTAGCTTGCTTTTCCCATTTGTTAAAAAGGCATACTCAAAGAGATTATTGTCTGTGTCCTCTTCATTCTGTTCTCCCATTTTCTTTTATTTGTGTATATTTTGTATATTTCATATTGCATATATTTACCCTTTAACATGTATATCTTGGCATATATAACATTTGTGTATGATACATATTATATTACCCATATCTAAGAAAACATGGATTGTGCTCATAGTTCACAATATATGGCATATTTTGAATACTGTTTTGTGGTGTGTGTGTGTGTGTGTTTTCACTTAACAACTTATTATAGTGTTTCTAATACTTTTTCCATGGCTGCATACTATTTAATCATGTGCATGGACTAGAGTTTATTCCATTGGTACATTGATGAATGAATATTGGACGTTTTCCATCTACATTGCCACTGTGAATAACCCGACCCATAATTTCATCTTGATTAGATATATCTTCAAGTTAATTTGCTATAATTTGTATTATTGAGCCAAGGATATCTGTAATTTATGAAAATAATGCCAGAGTTCCTTTCTATATGTGTAGAACCATTTTGTATTTCTATCACTAATATTTATAATATCAGCTTTTTCTCTTCTTCTTTTTACCTATTGTTTTTTTCCTATTTTTGAGTTAAGTATTTAATTCAATTATTTTAATCATTTTTCAAGCTTGTTGACATGCATGCTTAAATCTATAAATTTTTCTCTAAGCAATACTTAGTCTATAACTTTTGATATGTACATATTTTCATCAGTTCTCTAATGTCTAATGTTCATTAGTTCTCTAATGTTCTCTAAGATTTAAATTAGAAATGCACATTTTCAAAAATAAAATTTTTTAAGACTCTGTAATGTGTTCGATTACTTATGTTTCTGTGCCACCTGCTTTGGTACCACTCATGATTTCTCCCAAATAGAAATAGTAATACTTTTTATAAATTTTTTTATGTTAAAATCTTTGTGTAAAATACATATAAAAATAATTTTGTTTGGAATGAATATAAGTGCATTGATAATATATGTTACTATATTGAATCACACTAAAACAAACTTTTAAAAAAAGAAAAAGGCTCTTTGCCAGGCACAATGGCATATGGCTTTAATCCCAGCAGCTCAGGAGTTTGAGGCAGAAGGATCCTGAGTTCAAAGCCATCCTCAGCAACTTAGCAAGGCCCTAAGCAATTCAGTGAGATCCTGTCTCTAATATATATATTTTTAAAGGAATAGGGATATGGCTCAGTGGTTAAGTAATGCTGGGTTTAAACCCCTGTACAAAAAATAAAATAAAATAAAAATGAGAAAAGAATAAATAAAGGCTCTTTGTAAGGAAAAAAAGAGAGCCTCAAAAAAATACCCAAAATACCTAGGAATAAATCTAACCAAGTAGGTGAAACACCTCTTCAGTGAAAATTATGCACACTAAAAAAAAAAAAAAAACAACACTAGAAGACCGAAATCAATTTG